GATCCAGCCTGTCCAGATCCCTCTGCAGAGCCTCCCTACCCTCAAGCAGATCGACACTTCCACTCAGCTTAGTGTCATCTGCAAACTTGCTAAGGGTGCACTCTGTCCCCTCGTCCAAATCATTGATAAAAATGTTAAACAGGAGTGGCCCCAGTACTGAGGCCTGGGGGACACCACTCATGACCGGTCGTCAACTGTATTTAACTCCATTAACCACAACTCTCCGGACTCGTCCGTCTAACCAGTTTTTCACCCAGCAAAGTGTATGACCATCCAAGCCAAGAGCAGGCAATTTCTCCAGGAGAATGCCATGGGCAACAGTGTTGAATGCCTTACTAAAGTCAAGGTAGGTACCATCCACAGCCTTTCCTTCATCCAACCAGCGGGTCACCATGTCATAGAAGAAGATCAAGTTTGTTAAACAGGACCTGCCCTTCATAAACCCGTGTTGACTGGGTCTGATCACCTGGTTATCCTGCATGTGTTGCACAATGGAACACAGGATGATCTGCTCCATCAGCTTTCCTGGAACTGGAGTCAAGCTAACAGGCTTGTAGTTTCTTGGATCAACCTTCTGTCCCTTCTTATACTGGCTGACTTCCAGTCAGCTGGGACCTCCCCAGTCACCCAGGACTGCTGATAAAGGTTGGAGAGCGGCTTGGTGAGCACCCCTGCCAGCCCCCTCAGTACTCTAGGATGTTCCCCATTTGGCCCCATATATTTGTGGATATCAATGTGGAGCAGCAGGTCACTGACCATCTCCTTGATTGTGGTGGGGATGTTTTGCTCCTGGCCCTCCTCTCTTGTCTTGTGGGGCTGGCTTCCCCTCCTTTCTTGTGGGGCTGGCTTCCCTCAGTACACGTGTTTCTATTACTAAAGATTGAGGCAAAGAAGGCCTTAAGCATCTCAGCCTTATCCCCACCCTTTGTCACTATATTTCCTCCTGGGTCTAGCAGGGATGGAGGCTCTCCTTGGTGTTTCTTTTGTTATTAATATATTTATAGAAGGTTTTCTTGCTGTCCTTTACTTTCAAAGCCAGATTAATTTCTAGCTGGGCTTTGGACCTTCTAATTATCTCCCTGTATAACCCAACATTAACCTTGTACTCACTGGGAGTGGCCTGCCTCTTCTTCCAGAGGCTATAGACTCTCCTTTTTGCCTTGGTTTTTCAGCTAGATGTCTCTATTTAGCCAGGTCGGTCTTCTATGCCACCGGCTTGTTTTATGGTACATGGGGATGGCCTGCTCCTGAGCCTTTAAGATTTATAGCTACAATCTGACTATTGATTGTAACAACACAATACATAGGTAATGTAAAAGCACAAATGTACATTCTTAAAATGAAATCTAAGAAGTCTGAAGACAGAGAAATTTTAAACTACTTGGGACAGTAAAATAAGATCTTTACAATATAACTGCCATCAGAGTTAATAGAGATAATTAAAATCCCACGAAACCATTGCAAATATTACAGGCCTAAATAATCTTTTGGCATGTAGTTTCATCAGAGATTTCCCTCTATTTTTAGGCAGACTTATTGAATATTAAATGGTACTTATGGATGTAAAATGGTAATGACCATGGGATCAGATAGTTTACCTCTTGAAATAAGAGTGTTTCATCCCAACCAGCAAGAAGCAGTGAGCACCCAACCTCACCATGAGTCTCCCTGTTGGACCTTAAAGTTCTCCAAGCATCTCGATTTCTGCGCTTCTGGGGACTAGCATCACCATGCTATCACCAGACCAGTCAACAACTTCCACCTAAGCTTCCCTGGGATCAGGGAAGTAGCTGAAGTCATACAAAAGCCCCTCAGAAACAGAGATGGCTCATAAAAGCAGCTAAATAACACCAGTTACAGCAAGGATGGTATCTCACCTTCTGTTCATTGGCTTTGCGAAGGCACAGATTTAGAAGATTTTACTCTAGACCAGCTCTAGTCTCATCCTGTGGTCTAGCCTCTGTGGTCTTAAAACATACTTGCAATTTTGATGAAGTAAATGCACTTTTGGAGTCCTTTTCTCCATTTGGTTTCATCCGAAAAGGAATCCACTGTATTCACTCCCTTACTCCTCTATGGGATAAACCAGTGGGAGGAGAATCATCAGATCTGCAATGAAAATGCAGTCCTGATGAAACAAAATCCTGTTGTTGATGCACATTTTGGCTTGAAAACTATGGAAGCTGTTTTTTAATTTCCTTAATTTTTCCCTCCCTTTCCTTTAGGCATCTACACATCTATACACATTCTATGGTGTGCTCTTCCACTTGAGCATGGTTTCAAACCATTTCCTTTTCTGTTAGGTGTTTGTAAACTTTTTTTCAGCAATTTTCAGTACCAGCCTAGCTGTATCATGTCACAGGATGAGGTACAATGAAGACAGAAGTGAATTTCTGTTCTTTGATAAACTGCATAGTTTCATACAATGCCAGTTGCGTGAAACTGCATAAATTAAAAATTCATGCCTTGCTACACTGCTTCATATTCTTACATACGATGGTCACAGTGGTAGAATTTGACTTTTTACCACTTTCTTGATATCTAAATAATAACATCACACAGTGAGGATCTTCATGCAGTTTCTGGATACAAGATCCATTTCCATCTTATTTTAAGGTCTATAGGAAAAGCTGAGCATTTGGCAACATTGTTATTCTGGAGAGAAAGACTTACCAATTATCACCTGGCTTCTATTAGTTGTCTGACTGGCCTCATCTGCTTCTTCCCAGTCAGGTGGCCTGCGGTATACAGCCACCACAATGTTTCCCATGTTGATGTGACCTCTCATCCAGATCCATAAACTCTCAGCTGGTCCCTCATCCATCTCAAAGCTGAGCACCATCCATTCCCACTGCTCTTGCACATAAATGTCGCTGTTTCAGCCTCTTTTTTGAAGAGCCTCTATTCCAGCGAGGCATTTGAAGTGGCACATTTGTAAAGGACCTTAACTGTTTGTGTGTTATAGCATTTCATTGTTTTAAATATAATCCTCAGACTGAAAGCACTGAAAACAGCAGTGCATACTGGAGCAGCATGGAACCTAATGCTATGATGCTGGCTTACAGCTATTAAAAATCTTGTCTTACATTTGCATTTTTATAAATCTTCCTGCTATGCCTGTGTGTAAAAACCCCATTTTTTATTTAGTCCACTTGCTAAAAAATATATGGTTTCAATTATTAGAAATATTAGGGAAGGAAATAATCACTTTCATTAACATTTTGCATAAGTAACATTAATGGTTACTCACAGGATCATGAAACGGCATATCGAGCCATCAGAGTAATAATCAGCATAATAAAAGGTAAGTGGAGCCTAGTAGTTTAAGTACATGAACACAGTCTATTATCTCCTACTTCTGATAAAATAATAAAAAATTACTCAAAGAGTGAGTAGTGAGTTTTGTCTCCACATTTGACATCACCAGTGTGGGCAGACTCTGTGCTCTGCCTGATTGTCATATAATTCCTCTGTCGTCTTCAGAAATCCTTCAGAAATTACTAGAGCATCTTTTACACAGAAATTCACATTTGGTGATATAAAAATGAACAGTGTTTGTTTGCATTTGAGATGTAGCTTGATAAGATTATAAAAGAAATTATATGACCTACTTGTCTATCTATGAAAGAGATGGAAGCTGATAAATCAGGTGCCTCTTCTAGTCCAGCTTTTGGATTTTTATCAAGGTTTGGTCTCATTGCGTTAAAGATGACCAGATATATACAGAGAGATACCAGAAAGAAGAGCCTGGCAAAACTGATAGGAGGAGTGGAGTGAACATGTATTAAAGGCCTAAGTGCAATCATAGTTGCTGAAGCTTGGTTCTAAATAAAGCTGATTCTTGTTTTAGAGATCTGTTTCTTGGTCTAGGATGGCAAGTCTCTTGGTCTAAGCACCAAGAAGTGGCTCAAAAGAGACCAAGCTCTGCAGAGAAGCCCTGTTGTATTGCTAGTTCTCAGCCGATGCAACCCAAGAGCACTGGAGTCAGCACTAACACCCAGAAATTACATAACTTAGTTATAAATAATCTTTCTGAATGCCTTTATAAACCAGCATTGTCACTGGAGCATTACCTCCTCACTGAAGTAGATTGAAGCCCACGCTTAGCAGTGAACAGCTCTGGGGATCTCATCCTCTCCTCTTCTTTTGAAGGTGAACCATGAAAGAGGATGAAATGAGACAAGCGTGTAGCCAGAGGCAGAGCTCCACTTTGCTGGCAGACATCAAAAGATCTTGCTCCAGGTTGTCCCCTCACACTGGGCACCTAACATTTTGTATGGCATTACAGAGCACTGTCGTGGGAGGTGGGACTGAAGGACTGAAGTCTCCTGGGACAAGGGATAAGTTCAGCCTAGGCCTCCCACTTCTTAAAAAAGATACCCTGCTCTGAGAGTGCTGTGGGTGTTGGTCTCCTTTCCCAAGTATCAGGTAATAGGACGAGAGGAAATGGCCTCACGGTACACCTGGGGAGGATGATTCTATAATTCTGTATTGGATATTAGGAAAAATTTCTCCACTAAAAGGGTTGTCAAGCATTGCAACAGGCTGCCCAGGGAATTGGTTGCGTCATGATCCCTGGAGGTATTTAAACGATGATGCGGTGCTCAGGGCCATGGTGTAGTGGTGGACTTGGCAGTATTAAGTTAGCTATTGGACTCAGTGGTCTTAAAGGTCTTTTCCAACCAAAACAATTCTGTGATTCTATAAAGACATGTAAGTGTCAACAGAGATAGTATTCCTTGCATGGAAATAGGGGCTAATGGAAGAAAGCCAACAGGACATATCAATGTTAATGACCTAGAAAGTTTGGGGATGTGTGTATGAGAGAATGAAAAGGCTTATTTGCATATTCTAGAGCTGTCACCTCTAAGCAAGAGTAAAAACTTGCTTTCTTGTGAAAAAATCTTCTTCATCAAACAGCATTAAGTTTGAAAAGTATGACACTAAAAAAACCGAGTAATCTCAGGGCAGATTTTTTTCTTAAAAATGGATTTCTTGTCTTCATTACCTATTTTATATTTTAAACTGTAAAGACATAACAATAATTATAGCAATATTACTGTATGTACTATTTTATAAACTATTGTTTATGAATATAACATAATTCAGTGCTAAAATACACAAGAACAAGTTATTAATTTTCTTAATGAGACGACTGAAGTTAGCAAGGTTCATTAACACCCCCACCCACCCTATCAAGCAAGGATTATCTGTCTCTTCAAAGTCTAATAGAATGTTTATTCATATCATCAAATTGTCTCCTACTTAACTTACCTTCTTAGCAGAAGCATTTAAATTAAAACAGATCTCACCTTGCACTTCAGTGTTAGCTACTGAAATTGAAAACCTTTGCATGGAACAGAGCACTAGAAAATCACCAACAATACTCAGCAAATACTTCAAGAGATTGTGAAAGACAAGCAAACAGAAGGACATGTGGTGAACTGGAGAAAGGGTATTATAATACATTTCTCCATAAAGATACAGATCCGCTCTTCCTTGCTAATTTTTTTCAGGAGTAGAGGGTAAGCAACTGCATTCTATTACTTTCTTATCTACTCATCACCAAAACATCACCTGATACAATAGTCATGATATGTAAATTATAATTTGTACTTCTTAAAAAGTTTTCTTTGTGCAGTAGTCAAGACCATTTTATATTTACTGAATGCTAATTATTTGTTCATTGTATATAATTTCATTTACTTGAGCCTATTTTCTTGCTTCTATGGACTGCATTCTAGTTGACAAGTTTAAGGAGCAGGCAAGAGGGTGAAAACCAGGAATCCTTATGGCCAAGGACTCCAGCACTCTGGTTATTCATGCAGGAGGATTGTTTTCAGACAGTTCTGTGGCTTCATTCCTTCTGCCATGACAATATTTTTAGTTATAAAGGCTCGGCCTCCCAAGTCGCTGTTACAAAGTGGGTTTCACTGCCGCTAATGCCAACAGAATGTATAAACCCCTACCAGAACAAAATGCTGATGTTTGATGCCTCTGTAGTAGAATAAAAAATGTTCTGCAAAAGATGCAGGTAATTACTGAAATAATATTAAAGAGGATGTAATTGGAATACATGCTCCTTAGGGTACCATCAATTGTCAAGAGGGGTTAAGTTGAGCTTCAGTTTCATATACTTAATTTAAGTGTCTATGATGTAGGTGTCACTCATGACCGAGAGGCAGAATTTAGTTGCCTAATCATATGTATCTACTGTCATCTAAAATTCCCTTGCACATCCTGCATGGCCTTCAGCTGTCACAATCAAAGGAAGTGTCTCCTACAGATCAAGTGATACCATGTGGTGTCTCACATACCCTAAGGGCTTTTAAACACTGCTTAATGCTTCTGTTTCAGCATCTGCACTCAGCCACTATATTCAAGGGAGAGGAGCGAGGCACTGAGCCCATCCTAAAGCAGACAGCTGCACTTGGTCAGCAGAAGACCTCTCCACTTGCCAAGTCAAGGTGTCTCCTCCATGCCATAGGCTGCATTGACTGAGTTAACTGGAGGTTCAATTCAGCTGTCTGACTGTGAGCATCCAGACCTTTCTGTGACCCAGGGAGGGGTATCTGAGACACTTTACTGATCATGATTTCCTCCAGGCATTTCCTCTTCTTGGGAGAACAGAGAAAGTCTGCCACTATGTTATTGTACCACGTGGGCCAGAAAATGCCTGAAACAGAATGAGGTCAAACATACCAAACTGTTGAGTGTTGGGTTGGATAAGTTTATTCTTATATTTTTTCATTTTTCCTGAAATATCACAGATTACAGGCATTTGCTCTCTGCTGCTTAATATTGTAATTGAAAACTGTCAGGTTTTCTTGCAAATTGTTACTGAGTGTTTCATAATTCACAAAAATAGAGAGAATTAAAATCAAATAGTTGAATATATTGTAAATAAAAAATTGCAAAAGGTTCTTTGTGTATTTTAAGCCTGAGATAGTCTGTTTCGTACGGCACAAACTTTTCAAAATTTATTTCACATTGATCTTGCCCTCTATCTAAAATGTTTTAAAAATTATTCGGTACGCAAAGTATTACTAATTTATCCTTCATGCTAATGGTATCATTTGAATCACAATTTAAATAAATTAATTTGAAGAAAAGTAGGCATGAATCTCCTCTCACTTATATTAATTTTACAGTGAAATAACCTCAGTGACTTTAATGGATTTACTTTTGAATTGTAACAGCTGAGATGTCTTTCTACAATATTCGGCAAAGTAAACAATTATCCTTGCAGTGTAAAGATTAATACTGGACAAGTTAGAACACATGTTTTAGACAACAATTTCAACTCGTATATGAATTTTACTTACTTTGAGCAGAGATAGACCTTTTCCAAATCAGTTAACAATTTTTCATATCTTTGTTAAACATGCTTTTCTATTAAGGTTTAGCATCCCTTGGGCAAACAATAATTATTTGATATGGTTTCGTGGTTAAACAAATTTGTAATTTCAATTAGGTTAAAAAGTAAAAAACTTAAGATAAGACCCTCAGGCGTAAACAAAATTTACTAATGCATTTTTTTTATAACTTAACTTTGGCTTTGAAACACTAATTGTATAGTTACTACCACATTTGTAGTTTTGCACAGCAAAATAATATGAATATATCCATTCAAATTAAGACCTCAAGATTTCAGGAGACCAGTCATTAGCAAACAATAAACACGGTAGTTGCAATCAGGTTAAAAATATTAAAAATGTAATTGAAAACAAGTTACAGCATAATTTCATTATTTCCTTTGATGGACTCTTCTGCTTATAGAGAAATCGCACCTTGATGCATCTTTTTAATGCAACTTTACACTTGGAAAATGAAGGTTGACTCTAGCAGGTCATATGAAAGGATATAGCTTTTCATGCGATAACTTTGACATCTTACTGTGTAAATAAGTACTTTGGTGATTTGCAGAAATAGCCTAACACAAACTTGTCTTTTGACAGATGACATTTTAATCTACTACAAATACTATCCCGCGATATGTGTGCCACACACAGAGAAGAAATACAGTGGCTTTCACTTTGAAAGATAAAACTCTATAAAAATACCACAGAGTCTAAAAAGGTTTTGACAAATAAAACTCAATACAACTTGCACTGGAATATTTACAATTTTTTCAGTCTCAGTTAACAGTGTGCACTGGGAACATTAAATAATTCAGAAAGATTGCACGAGCACAGTTCCAATCACTGATGGCTTTAAAATAAAGTGTAGACATACAGACATATATACATATTTATATCTGTTATTATTTTGCTGCTAAATCCTTCTGATTACTTATTTAAAAAGGTCAGAACATCTTCAAATTTCTCTTTCCTAATGAGGTAAAACCAGAACTTGTGCTCACGCACAATGATGTACCTAAAAATGCCTTTTTTACTGTGCTTTTCTTGTGGCTATTATCTGGGCATTTCTTACACTGTTACAAACCTGTGACTCGAAGTTTATCTGTGCCAATTACAACCTCATTTTCATCCACTGTAAAAAGTGGCTTGCCGTCCTTTGAGTTGATCTGAAATTGTTGACCGTGGAATTCTACCATTTTAGGACCTGCAAAGCACAGTAGAATAACAGAATAATTACTGTAAGCACCAAAATTGGATAAGTCTATTCACATGATCTAATCTGTTGTTCAAAACTGTGCCTGGAATCATGCTTTCAAGTTGGGATTCCAGGGAATTTAGGAAATTCCTTACAAATTGATGAAGATGAACATTCATGTTCTTGGTGCTGAAACTGCTAAGAGTCTTTGATCAGTATGAGTTTATAATTATTTTTTTTAACATAGAAGCTAATTATCAAAGTCTTTGTAGCATCATCCCATTTGATTAGTGAGGCTCGAATGCTTTAAAATTACAGATATCCCATGTAAGAGCAGCACTCTCAGCTCCTCATAACAAATGCCAGTTTAGCTCCACATATCTAAAAAATGTTACTAATCATAATATTAGCAAAGTTTCAAAGAGTTACATGAGCAGTTGCAATTGGATCTCATGTTCCAAAAATTAAAATAATTGTGTGCAAGAATCTTTAGCTATTACCAGATCCTAAATTCAGTAAAACATTCTGTTCTACTGTATCGACTTGGTAAGCAGATATAAATCAGATTCTTAATATTCCCCTTTCTGATCAATTAAAAATTCACATCACATAAGTTTGAATGGCTATTTGATAGAGTCATGATCTAAATCTATGTTGAGAATTAAAATTACAGAGAATGATCAAAGCAGTTAAGACTTGTTTTCAGCAATTTTTAATAAAGATAATTCTCAGACTATCCATGGGACTGAGAGCATCTTCCTTCTCAGTAAGAACCTGCCTACTTCCATGAATATCAAATATATTCCAGGAGGCAGTCATTCTCACAAGAAATAGGGGGTTTTATGTCAAAATGACATTAGGTGACAGATAATTAATACTGTTAAGAAATACATTCAGGTATTTCCTAAAATCTGCATAGTAGCTGATGTGAGAAATGCACACCGTAAGGTTCTACACAAACTGCCTATTGCTTCTCTTGGCAGACACAAAGTATTGCTTTAATTGCCCATCAAGCACAAAATGAGTTATAGAAGCCATAACGTCCTCAACAAGGGCAACAATTTTAAGGCAGAAAACCCAATATAGATTCTCCTTGAAAACAGTCAGGATAGAGGGCTGAACTCTGCAGTACATTACACTGTTGGACACGTGCACCCAGGCACAGCCTCACTGATCTCAATTTGACTCTTCTCTAAAACTCCCTCGAAGCACACGACTTCATTTCTGAGAACTGTATTGCAAAAAGTGAGCTCAGAAAATATTTCCCTTCAGTGAAACAGTCCTTTTTTTTACAGCAAAAGAGGCAGTTCCGGGTAAGTGAGGCAAGGATGGATCCTTATCAATGGTTTCGGAGAAAATCTTGGTTGTAGTACGGTCAGGTAATGAAACTCCCATTTATGTTGTCTAGGTAATTCCTCTGTTTATTGAAACAAATCAAAGGCCTATGTAAACTGGCTGTTACCAGCTTTTCTGGTGCTGCAGGGGCCAGTTGCTCATCCTTCCCATTCATCCTACACCTTGAAGACAATGCTCATATGACTGTGGGAATCACAGGTGAGAGCTTCTGCTGTCTGAAATGATGCAGGCTGGGTGATTCAGGCAACTTGAGGGTAAACATGGTTTTGCTGGAAGACATTTAGGAGTCTCTTTTGTTGACGATGTTTGGTCTCCTTTGTTGAAGATGTTTTACATTGTATAGAAAAGGAAGGTGCTATTTGGAGCCTTTAGTTCCTCCAGAGGAAGGGAACCCAAGTCTCCAGCTTCCTGGGTCAACACCCTGTCTGTAGGACTACTAGAGAGAAGTTGTACTACCACGTTTTCTTCTCCTGATCCTGCTTATTCTCTGATCTCATTCTAAAAAGCATGCAATTAAAAAAATCTGTTGGATTAGGCCCCGGAGATGAGACAGAAATGGAAATGCTTACTCTGTAGGCTCTGACAAGGTTAAGTATTTTTCTTTTCAGTTCTGTCAATATTTTAGTAGGTCTGGCATGCTGGAAGCAAATGTTTTATATAGCTATAGAACATTTATTAATTAAAAGAATTAATAATTGAGTGAAGATCCTGAAGGCTTACATTTTAGGTATATATACTTCAAAGTAAAGTAGGTGCCCAAAGACCTTCCATAGATTCAGTTCTAATCTGTGAAGTTTTATAGTGTGAGTAATCTTTAAAATACTAATTAGAAGGTTCTGTAAGTGTATTTGAACTACTATGCAAGCCTGCAAATAACATGCAGCAGTATCTGTAAAAGACTCAGAAATATATACTGTTAACTTTTATGTAATTGTTAATTACTTACACATGATCACAGAAAAATGCTTCAGCGTAATGAAGATATTGTATGTTTAGAAGGAATGCTATATACTGATTTTCATAGAATCATAGAATGGCATAGGCTGGAAGGGACCTTAGAGATCATCTAGTCCAACCTCCCTGTCATGGGCATGGACGCCATCTGTCGGCTAGACCAGGCAACACATGGGGACCGAGCGGGAATCGAACCCGCGACCTCGGTGTTGGTCATTGTTGCCAGCACCACGCTCAAACCACTGAGCTAACCGGTCACCTTTGAAAACAAATTGTTAGGCCTCAACAGTGGCATATCTGCTCTTTCTTTCTCAGCACCTTAATAGATAAAGAAGTTTTCATTGATAATAAAGCATTGGGGAAAACAAAAATGATTTGAAAGAACTGAACAAGCATGACATGATTTGCACCAGGCCTAGCTTGATCTCTTCTAGGGGTACATTCTTCTCAATTTGATAATGTGCTGAATCTATTTCACAAGCAATCTTGTCAAAGAAAGATTTTTCATGTTTCTCATAGCAAGAACAGAAAAGACCTACCTCAAACACAGCATGAATCAATTAATGTAATTTGTACATCTGCATATTGCCAGAAAATTGTCAGGTTTTTATTAATTGGATTGTTATGGAATACAGATTAACTCCCAGAGACATGTGACATGGAAAACAAAAACAGTTATAAGATAGGAGCTGCTTTAACTGTTTGAATTTAGGATGAATATATACACACTAAATAGCATTTACATACTTTGAAGCAAATTCTTTCTCTCTCCTAACCAAAGTAAATAGGCATAGATGACAAGCATGTGTTGTGCAGACTGACTTTCTCATCAGTCCTCTCTAGAGCAAATTTCAGACATGGGGTCCATACAGAACGTTATGCTGATACAACTAGAAATGCAATATATTAAAAGTTTAATTGAACTGGTCTATGTATACACTGACCCCATTCCAACAGTGACTGGAACATTAACACATTCCTGGGCTCTCTTATTCAGCCTTTCTGCTCCCAGCTAATTGTTTTTAATATTAGACTACAAAAACACATTCCTGGGCTCTCTTATTTTCTTCCACTCAGTTAATACTTGATTATTCCAGGCAAGGCAGAACACCTTTAACATGAGAAATTGAGGAGTCCTATCCTAAAATAATGAGATAGGGGAAAAAAGAGAGAAAAATCTTAGACAGATGAAGAACAAGAGGCATTACAGGATTTGTAGAAAAGCGCTCATCTGAGTGCTGAGCAGTGAGCTTTAACAAGCTAATGAATACACCAATACCAATAAATCAGAGAAAGCCAAGGCAGAGGATACACAAGTACTGCCAATTTCTGCTAATCCAGTAGCACACTCCTTGGCATCTTCTCAGCCTCTTCTCAGCCTCACACAACAACCTCCCAGACAATGCCTTGGACCAGGGGCTGTTCTTTGCAGATGGGATAGATGAAGCTCTCCATTTCTGGAGGGAATTTAGCTGAGAGTTGCGCCATGCCACCTGCCCCTGGGGTAGACTGTGGGTCCTGGCCTGGTTTCATTGCTAATGTAGATGTACTCTACCCCTACATGCTAAACACTTTCCTACTTTGGATGTTTCTGGTCATGCTATGAGTGACTCATCAAGGTGTTTAGTGATTTTTATAGCTTAAGAAACGTTTGGTGCCTATTGCGTTTTTTTTTTTTTCTGCGCATGGCTTTGCCAAGGGGAAGTCACGTTTGACCAACCTGATAGCCTTTTATGAAGACATAACCAGGTGGATGGATGGTGGCCATGCAGTGGATGTGGTCCATCTGGATATTAGCAAAGCATCTGACACCATCTCCCACAACATCCTCATAGGTAAACTGAGGAAGTGTCGTATGGATGACCGAGTAGTGAGGTGGGTCGCTAA